TTGTTCTTATGTGCTAAATGAGTAGTTTTTTAACTCAAAAATAATTTTATAAAAATTTTATGAAAACATTTGCATGGTGATTTGAAATTGGGTTGCCTATGTGAAATACCATGCAAATGACTATTGTGGCAACCCAGTTGTTGATTAAATTTGCACAATCAAATTTACTTAAACTTAATGTCTTAAATTGTTTGGCTTTTAAATAACTTATGGCTTGAGTTTCATAACCTTAAGTGAGCCGAGCGTCCATAGCTCGTTTTTTTTTTTAAATTGGCTATATCAACCAACTTAAGAATATAAAATTCGGGACTTTACAAAATTTCTCAGCCTCAATAACTTGGGCTTCGCTTATATATATATATATATATAACATCATTACATTTTAATGTTATTGTGTAAAACGTCTTTACCTTTTATTTTTTTAGCATTTTCACCTATATTTTCATCTTTCATTACGGAAATGTCTTTTTCATCTAATTTCTCAATAAAAAATGTAAAATGACAGATATATCTTCCTATTTAAATAAAACAAAAGGAAAAGAGAATAAAAGTTAAAGAACAAATTGCAATTATACTCCCAAACTTTTTAAAAAACTGCAAATGAGTCCAAATAAATTATTAAAATGGTAATTAGCACAAAACGTCCATACTTTTTAATATCATTGTGTAAAACATCCATACCTTTCATTTTTTGACATTTTCACCCTTATTTTCATATTTAATTGTGAAAATCATTATTTAAATACATTTTCAATTAAAAGCTGTAAAATGATAAATATACCCTCCTATTAGAGTAAAAAAATAACGAAAAGAAAAATAAAGATCAAATTGCAGCTTTACTCCCAAATTTTTAAAAAATAAATACAAATAAATAATTAAAAAAAGAAGGTGATTTTTCTTAATTTTTTATTTTTAATTATGTTTTTGAAATTTCTTTGTACTTTTTCTAAAAAATTCGGAAGTATAGTTGTAATTTGTTCTTGATTAATGTGTTTTACTCATCATATTAATACTACTTAATCTTGATATTTCGTTTGATTGTTAGAGTTTTAAGACGTTTTAACGTGTGTTTAATGTTGTTTTGTATATTAGTTGAATTGGTGTGAATGGTGTAAAGCTTGAAGAAAAGAGTGATTTTCCCATGAATCAAGGAGAAATTGATATTGGTTTGGCAAAACCTGATGATTAGAGGCTAAATTGAAAGAAAGAAGTGAATAACGACATAAAAATTGTGGAATGCAAAGTTTTGAAGACTCAATTGCAACTTTTAATAGTTGATTCGAACCACAAAATGATAATTGGAGATTGCTAAGTGTCATCTAGATGCAATTAGAAGAAGAAAATTAGTCAAATATAATAAAAAAACAATTGATACCCATTTTTGACATAGTAAAAGTTCGAGTTGGAAAAAATATCTGAAATAAAGTCATAGGTCGGTGAGTGATAAAAGTGTAAAATATGATATTTTTCCTCTTAATTGTTGCATTCATATGATTATTTGATGTCAAAATGTACTCATTATACTTATGTTATGATTCAGGTTGTATTTTGATAGAAAAAGGTGAAACTTGGGAGAAAAGAGCGAAATGGATCAAAATGGAAGTAAGTGAAAGTTCAGGGATCAAAATGAAAATATTCCAAACTTGTGTCTAACCTTGTGATAAAGATTCGAGTGTGTTAGAGGTCAAGTGGATGAAGAAAGAAGTCAAAAGGATGAAATAACGTCATCATACATCAATTCCCTATCGAAAAGGTTACGCATCGATTTTTTAGCCTCATATTGGGACCTGTTTTTGACATGAAAAATGATCGAATTAGAAGATGATATATGGATCAAAATTGTAGCCCTTTGATTTATCTTTCCAACGCAATCTAAATCATCTTAATCAGACATCGAGAGAGAAAGTTATGACCAAAATACTGAAAGTTATTCGACGGAGAAAACGGGAAATTATGCGGTCGCATAGAATAAACTCCATGCGATCGCATCCACCGTTCCAGGAAAGTCATGGCCGTGTTTTGAATGTATTATGCGATTGTATGGTGAAAGTTCTAGGAACGCGCTACTACACTTAGAAAGTTCACGGGAACGCTTTACAACGTCAAATTCAAATTTTAAGCATTTACCAAGTGTACGTTCCAATTACCAATTCGATCTTACGTGCGGAATTAATCTAACTAAAGCAACAAGTCACTTTTGTTAGTTATCTAGATGATTAGACATACAATCCAATTTAATCCTATGTTGAATTACCGCATATTATTCTAAATAACTGAAAGTAGTAAAAACAAAATCAACACAAGAATTGCTGACGGAGAAACCCAACACGGGAAAAACTGCGGGCACAAGCCAGTTACCTCCACTAACGATACTTCAAAGATTACAATGATTCGCCAATCAAAGAACCCATCAAGATCCACTGTCACAGCCTGACGATCTACTGCGTAGACTCTCTAGACTCCTGCTAGACTCCTAAGTCCACCTCCTGCAGTCCAATCTGCTGTCTCCTACAGTCTTCTGATCTTGTACTGAATATCCTCACAAGTGGAACGCCAAGAACCTCCTGTTCTTGTGCTTGTAACTGCACCTTGCACCACTCTCTCAATCCACCAAAGAGAGAGTTCCTTCCTTCAATCAGTTGAGGAAGCCAGGTGTTTGTCTTCAAGAATGTTTGATGTTTTCCCAAGAAATGGTTGCCGGATCACAAGAATTGCATAGATAAAATCTTCAATCAATATTGTCTTGGATCTCTTGAAGAAGATGTAGAAGAAGAATATTATCTTGGATCTTCAATTGATTTGCCTTGGATCTCTTCAAGAATGGAGTAGAAGATGTTTTTCAAGAGAGGCACAATGAGCAACCACCCCAAAATTCGTGTTTGTTGAACAGATAACTCAAAGGGCTACAATTATTCTAGAAATAGCCTTGTCCAAATTCCAACTGTTTCTATGTGTAAAATGTGTTCAAATTGAAGACTGAAAATCTGAAACATAATTTGTGCGGCTCTTTGATATCTTTTAGACTTCCAATTGCATTCCGATGATCTTATGTGATCTTCTTGGACATCTTGGACTCGAACACTAATTTACCTCATCTATACAAATTGCACCCTAATCTCTTGAACAGATAACTCAAAGGGATACAATTCTTCTAGAAATAGCCTTGTCCAAATTCCAACTGTTTCTATGTGTAAAATGTGTTCAAAGTGAAGACTGAAAATCTGAAACATAATTTGTGCGGCTCTTTGATATCTTTTAGACTTCCAATTGCATTCCGATGATCTTATGTGATCTTCTTGGATATCTTGGACTCCTTTAACGACTCAAACACTAATTTACCTCATCTATACAAAATTGCACCTCAAGTCCTTGACTTTTACAAGAATGTTCAATTGAGTCCCTGACTTTTACAAACATACGATTAAACCCATTTTGTTCACAGAATTGCCAATAACACATTTAGACCTAACATGATTTACCGCCTCAATTGCTAATACCTGCTCCCGTGGGTTCTTTTCTGTGTCTCTCGGTAAGATACCCAGTGGTCTTTTAGCTATTGCAGTTGCAATCTGTCCCACCTGCTGTTCCAAATTCTTGATAGATGCCTGCTGATTCTGAAAGTTAGTTTCAGTCTTTAGTAGAGAATGTATCTATGTCTCTCCCCAACGGCCCCTTGACATAGGCAATATGCAACATATCGAATCAAACAATGAAACACAGTGCACATTGGCTAAATTTTGCTCTAACAATTTTCTCCCCCTCAGATATACATCTCCCCCTCAGTTATACGTTCTCTCATTCTCTCTCCCCCTTTTGTCACAAATGCTGAAGGGAATATATCCAAAGTCAAATAGAGCAATAACATATAAAACTCAAAAATGCAGTTGATAGCATGCATAAGTAATATCAATAAGTCATAAGTCTTCCCACATACTTAGTTAGACCAGAGTGGAGTAAAAAGTTTAAGTGACTCATGTGTGTAAAGTGTCACTAATCCAATGTAAGCAGGTCTCCAAACCTTAATTTTGTGAGAAGGGACATGCTAATCACTGCCAATAAGTATATTCTTCTACTAATGAAAGTCAAACCATGTAGCGTGAAGTAGTAGGACCTATACTTATTCTTTTTCTTACCTCTCCCTTACTATGAGCATTTATCTTTTTCAATCTTTCCATATCTTTTTAGCTCAAAACATTTTCATATTTTTCAAACTTTTTCTCAGCTCATTTACTTTTCATCTTAAGTGCAGGTTCCTTTCCATTAGGCGACTAAAATGACCCCTGTAGCGAGCTTTAGGCCGGGTAACCCAAGTCAGTTGACCATAGGCACCAGGTTTTAAGAAACCCCGCAGGCTTAATTGCCCGAGTCAAATAGGCCCCGAAAAAGAATATTAAGATAATGAGCATAAATTAAAGGGGAAAGATTTTTGGGTTAAGGTCTAAAAAATATGGTCAATTCATGTTCAAAGTCACCCCATCAACATGTGGCAGCCATCCCAAATCTCACACACGCGGTAGAGTCCTACTTAACAAATTCATAGTGTGTGCAGTGCGGATGGTACATGAAGACACTTATACTAATTAAACCAAACAGACCTAACCAAGCAATGGAAACTACTCTACAGCTTATCAACTTAAGCTTAAGCATGATCACAACCACAAATTTCAGATATGCGTTAAGCTGTAGAGATTTCCAAAACAACTATTTTTGTGTTTTTCAATTTTTTAATGTTTTTGTGTTTTTCATTTTTCGAAAAGTGAATGCACACACAAAAAGAAAATAGAAACAAGCACACAAATCAAAACACAAAATATGCATGTACCAAAGCAATCTAATATAAATGCACGTGCACAAAACAAAACAAAAAAAAGCAAATACAAATGATGCACGCAATCAAATATGACAAAAAAAAATGCATCAAGAACACTACCTAATCACGTAGGTATATAAGCACCATGATCTTCGTTCAGATTATGCAGATCACTCTTCTTCACCCAAACCTACTTAGTGGGAGAACGGTTCCCAAACAGGTGTGTCACCAACTTGGTCAAATGATTCACTTGTTCAGTAAGGAATCCAATCTGACCAATAGACACCTGACTTTTATTTCCAGTTATGCGTATCTTCCTATTATTATTCAGGTACTGATGACATCTAGGGCGGATGTGTCCTAACTTACCACAATGAAAACAAGTAGGGACAAACCTCGGACTTGTATTATGAGACTGCTGACGTCTATTCCTCGATCGACGTGTCCTATGCTGTCTGGTAGACCTTTGTCCTAAAAATCCCTCAACATTAGGTATGGAGTTGGACGCATATTTGGGCTGGTCAGAAGCAGGGACAAATGTGGTCTTAGATGTACTAACAGTATCAATTCTCTTACCCTTGTATCCTAGACCTCCCTTATTTCCAGCCGGCTTACCTATTCCTAGCATATTATCTAGCTTTGATGAACTACTAGAAAAGGCAAGAAGTTGAGACTTTGATTGTTCTAAATCGCTCATAAGGTTCACTACCTGAATTTGCAAAGTCTCATTCATGGCATTCAACTCACTGGTTTTCCTAGAGGACCTCTCAAGCTCACTAGTGAGGTTCTTAACCTGAGACTCTAAGGTTTCATTCTTAGACTTAAGCTCACTCAGGACTGTGGAAGACTCACTCACATACGACTCTACCTTAGCTTTTTCAGACTGCAGATTATGAATGGTAGCATTTAAGGTTTTATTCTTACTAAGAATCTTAAGGCTCTCTCGGTACATCTTATCATAGGCCTCTTGAATATCCTTATCACTCACTGACTCATCTTCAGAATCCTCACCACTATCTATGACATCATCTCTCTCACCCTCTTGATCGGATCCATTCTTAGCACTAGTCATGAAGGCAACATATCTTCCATTCTCCTCACACGTGGATTTCTCACTCTGATTGTCTGAGCTAGACTCGTCATCAGTGAGGGTAGTATGCAATGTCTTCTCCCCGACACTCTTAGCACTAGGGCACTCACTCCTAATATGACCGAAACCTCCACATTTATGGCATCTCACAGATTTAGACTTTCTCCTAGATTCACTCGGGCCACCTCTCGGTTTCTCTTCTAGCTTCTTCTTCCTAAACATCTTTCGGAATTTTCTAGCTAGATAGGTCATCTCCTCATCATTGGGTGAGTCAGAATCAGATGATTCAGGTCGGTTACTCCTAGTGGATCTTAAGGCAATGGATTTTTCTTTAACTGGAGTACCTAAGGTAAGCTCATATGCCTGAAGGGATCCTACAAGTTCCTCTACCTTGATAGTGTCTATATCCTTACTTTCTTCTATAGCCGTGACTTTAGGCCTAAAATGTTCAGGTAAGGATCTAAGAATCTTTCTTACTATCTTAGGCTCGGGGATCTTTTCACCTAGGTTGAAGGATGAATTTATTATATCATTAAGGTTTGCATAGAAGACATCAAACTTTTCATCATCTCTCATCCTAATCTCTTCAAACCTAGTGGCTAGCATTTGTAATTTTGAGTTCTTAACTGCCTGAGTTCCCTCATGTGTGGTTTCTAAAATATCCCAAACATCTTTAGCTACCTCACACATGGACACTCGCCTAAATTCTTCTGGGGATATAGCCATGAAAAGGGCATGTAAGGCTTTACTATTCCAATTACAGTTATCAAGTTCAATTTTAGTCCAGTTTTCTATGGGGGTGGGTTTTACTACATTCTTCACTGTGGTACTAGGGGCAATCCAACCATTCACCACACTCAACCAAACCCTATCATCCATAGCTTTCAAGAATGCCCTCATTCTCACTTTCCAATAGGCAAAGTTACTACCATCAAAATAAGGCGGTATATTCAAAGACATACTCATCTAGACTAAGTAAGATCAGGATTCGAATTTAGGCTCTGATACCACTTGACAGTTCTAGGAACGCGCTACTACACTTAGAAAGTTCACTGGAACGCTTTACAAAAATTTGTATCCATTTTTCATGATATTATGCATGGATCAGGTATATCATTGCGAATTCTTCAGAAAAAATTGTGTCTTCCACAATGGAATCTGATAAGTGAGATTTCGAGTAAGTGTTTACATAGTCTTCTTCTGTCCGAAGAAATGATTCATCGAAATAATGAGTCACCATTGATATCGACACATCTGAGATCAATTACCAATTCGATCTTACGTGCGGAATTAATCTAACTAAAGCAACAAGTCACTTTTGTTAGTTATCTAGATGATTAGACATACAATCCAATTTAATCCTATGTTGAATTACCGCATATTATTCTAAATAACTGAAAGTAGTAAAAACAAAATCAACACAAGAATTGTTGACGGAGAAACCCAACACGGGAAAAACTCCGGGCACAAGCCAGTTACCTCCACTAACGATACTTCAGAGATTACAATGATTCGCCAATCAAAGAACCCATCAAGATCCATTGTCATAGCCTGATGATCTACTGCGTAGACTCTCTAGACTCCTGCTAGACTCCTAAGTCCACCTCCTGCAGTCCAATCTGCTGTCTCCTACAGTCTTCTGATCTTGTACTGAATATCCTCACAAGTGGAACGCCAAGAACCTCCTGTTCTTGTGCTTGTAACTGCACCTTGCACCACTCTCTCAATCCACCAAAGAGAGAGTTCCTTCCTTCAATCAGTTGAGGAAGCCAGGTGTTTGTCTTCAAGAATGTTTGATGTTTTCCCAAGAAATGGTTGCCGGATCACAAGAATTGCATAGATAAAATCTTCAATCAATATTGTCTTGGATCTCTTGAAGAAGATGTAGAAGAAGAATATTATCTTGGATCTTCAATTGATTTGCCTTGGATCTCTTCAAGAATGGAGTAGAAGATGTTTTTCAAGAGAGGCACAATGAGCAACCCACCAAAATTCGTGTTAGGGCTTAGGTATTTATATCTAAAGGTGTTTTGGTAGTATGGGCCGAGTAAAATACTTAAAAACACGTACTAGGGTTTTTTTCGCGTAGAACGGTCGCTCGAGCGAGGGTGGGGCGAAACTCTAGCGAGACCCATTCTGTTATTATAGCTCGAGCGAGGGTCGAGCGAAAGTCGAGCGACTGCTGAGTAGTCGTTAGTATTTTTATCATAACTTTCTCTCCTGATGTCCGATCGAGGTGATTCAAGTTTTTTTGAACAGATAACTCAAAGGGCTACAATTCTTCTAGAAATAGCCTTGTCCAAATTCCAACTGTTTCTATGTGTAAAATGTGTTCAAATTGAAGACTGAAAATCTGAAACATAATTTGTGCGGCTCTTTGATATCTTTTAGACTTCCAATTGCATTCCGATGATCTTATGTGATCTTCTTGGATATCTTGGACTCCTTTAACGACTCAAACACTACTTTACCTCATCTATACAAAATTGCACCTCAAGTCCTTGACTTTTACAAGAATGTTCAATTGAGTCCCTGACTTTTACAAACATACGATTAAAACCATTTTGTTCACAGAATTGCCAATAACACATTTAGACCTAACATATGGCTTATAACTATGAAGTCGCATAGGTGTTTTTTGAGGTGGAAAATTCCAGTTTTCTAAATTGACTCCAACACTTATGGTAACAAGTTTTCACACGACGTTTAACCCTTAATCTCGACCAGAATGTCTCTCTTTCATCTCCTATCAATTTTCTCTAAAGTTTGGCTCAAGAAATCCATGGAAAACTAAATTAATTGGTGAAGTCACGAAGGAACTCGATTAGATTTGGTTTTTTTCAACGTTTTTTTTTTCATTAATTTTTTTTTTTTTTTTTTTTGTTAAAAATTTTGGAATTAGATTTCTTATGTTTGTTTGGCATGTTTGAGATTGAGTTAATTCATCTTAGATTTTCATGAATTCAATCAAGTTTTTTCATCGAATGATCGAAGTATTTATTGATTTTCAATTTCAAACTGTTTGTTGGTGTGATCTTTTACTATCATATGCTTGAGGTATATGATCGATTTTGGATCTAATTTCAATAAATAATTGTTGAATTATGTTGTGCAAGAAATCTAGATTTGGAACTCTTAAGGAATTAAAGAAGGGTTTGAATGTGTAAATCTTCTAATTAAAGTGTTAGGATAAAAAAAACATTTAATTGAGTATCTTCATGCAAATTTGACGTTGATTGATCCAATCTAATCAAGAGAATTCTCACACTTCATTGCTTCACACATTGATTTAAATTTCCTTCACTTATACATTGTTATTTGAATTCTATTTCAATTGACACGTTACATTTATATAAAATCACAACAAAACCCTCTTTGGATTATTTTTTATCTCTCTATGGATACGACACCCCAAAACTATACTACGACACCCCGCATTATTCTTTGGGCGTAATCAGTGAGTTATCTTTCTAACACATTTTGAATCGCCTCAATTGGAAATCAAAAGAAGAAGTTATAATAAAAATATTGAAAGATACACAGTACTATTTTTCCAGCCAAAAGAGGGTGCCGCAGAGCTAGTAACGCTAAAAATCAGCAGCGTTGCAGCACCGCCAGGCAAGAAAAAATAATTTTGAATTGTTTGGACTCTTTTTTTGACCAAATCCAATCCTAACTCTTCCAAAATTTCATATTGATATAAATACGACCTAAAAGACCACTTTTCAACTACAAATCAAAAGGATAAGATTCAAGAAATCAAAGAGAGGCAAAAACAACATCAAGGAAGAAGATTGAAGATTTACTCAAAAACTAGTTTTTCTATTCTCTTCTTTATGTTGTTTATTTTGAATTGTAAAGATTTCATGTTTCTTATCATGAACTAAACTATTATTTTATGGTTTGATTAGACAAAACTTGAGAGTATAATTTGAATTTATTTTAGTTATTTCTATGAAATTTTTCATCCCGTTTATTTGTGTTATGATTTTAATATTTTCAATTAATTGACCACTAATTGAATGAGTAGATGCTAGTCAATTCTGACACTCAAGAGATAAGAATTTATGTGTGACCATAGCAATAACATAACTTTGATTTTATGGATTTCGAGAGAGAGTGTAGAATTTATGAAACTTATTTCATTTAAGAATCAAGATATTGATGAATCTTTATTTTAACTCGGAATAGAGATATTGAAATTAATTTCTAGGATCAATTTACCCAACACTCGAAAGAGAGGGTACAATTACATTAGAATTCTTGATTATAAACATAGAAAATTTATTAGAGATATCTAGGTTTTTGAATATCATATTTGATAGTTAAATGAAATTATAACCCCGGGCTTTCTCCACTTGATTCTTCTTCTAACTTTGTATTTATTAGTTGAATTTGTCACTACATTCGTCACGTTAATTTAATTAAAACCATTGATTTCAAATTTCATTCATTTAGATAAAATAAGAGTTATAGAATTATAGTACTTGATAGAAATTAAATATCAATTTTTGTGGGTTCGACATCCTAATTCCATTATTATACTACAAAACTTGATATCATACATTTGCGATATATTTACGTTATAGAAAATGCTTGACAGTTCTTTATTTTTCTTTTATTTATTTTCGTTTTATTTAAATATAAGGGTATGTTCGTCATTTTATAGCTTTTAATTGAAAAAATAGATGAAAATGATAATTTTCACAATGAAATGTGAAAATTAGGGTAAAAATGTCAAAAAATGAAAGATATTGATGTTTTGCATAATAATATTGAAAGGTATGAACATTTTGTGCTAATTACCCTTTTAATAATTTATTTGGACCAATTTGCATATTTTTAAAAGTTTTGGGAGTATATTGCAATTTTTGTTTTTTTTTTGTTTTTTTATTTAAATAGGAGAGTACATTTGTCGTTTTACATTTTTTTTTTTATTGAAAAATTGAATGAAAATGACATTTTTCGCAATGAAGGGTAAAAGGGTGAAAATGTTAAAATATGAAAGTTATGAAGTTTTTCACAATAACATTGAAAGGTAATGACATTTTATGCTAATTGCTCATCATCTATAGGGATGACAATTCGAACTGTCAAAATCGAAAACTGCGATTAACTGAATTAAATGGGACAAAAAAATCGAACCAATGGTGCAATGAGGTGGATATGGTATTTGATTTTAATACCCCTGTTCGAGGCAGGACGGGTATGGAATTTACGCCGTCGTTCCATCCCGAACTGATTACCCATTAAAAAAAATTAATTAAGCAATTGGGCGTTCTATTATTCTTTCTATGATTCTGTCCAAAAAATATGGCACATTACTGACCTGCTAAGACCAACTAACCTAATCCAGTAACCCTACACCCTACGACACAAATATTAAACATATATGGAAATTGCATTTGGGAATTGGGATATTGTTTGCATTTTCATTTGGGATATTTTTTGCTGAATTGGCTTAGTATTGTGCTTTTGTTTTAATTGACCTTTTTTTTTCATAAATTGTTTTTTTCCAATTTGAGGGTTAGACCTATAAAAAATAATTTATTTTTGTAATTATTAACCGCCCGAACCGAACCAATTTACGTGATTATGGTGAAGTTACAGTATGGACAGAAAATTGGTAATTCAATTATGATTTTGGTCGAACCGACCCTGAACCAACTCGTTGCCAACCCTAATCATTTAAGCTTGATAAATGAACGGGTGTTAAAGATCCAGGTCTCCTATTGGATCATGTGTCAAAATCAAGGTCTTGTCTGACCATGAATCAAAACCACAAGTCTGGTGAAAGCTATGCTGCTCTCTGTTAGTATCTACAATTTTTTCTGAAGTTTTGCTTAGAGTACCTCAATTTCCTGGTAGCCTTAAAGTACTGATTTCTTGAGCATCAGATTCCATGAGACCCCTCAAGAAGTTGATGTCATGTCTTCGACCAAAGCAGAAGGAAGAAATATCGGTCGAGTTCTTGAAAAACGGTGGCGAATTACTGGAGGAGCCTATTGCATCTTTTGGTGGACGCCATAGAATTCCAATCGTTAGCTTCTCTGCCGAAGAGCTAATCAGAGCGACAAATGACTTCGCGCAGTGTGTCCATATCAGTGAAAACGGTTATTTATTTAAAGGATGTTTGGGTGAACGCCCAGTTTTATTGAAGATGTTCCACGATGAAATAATCAGTCCCCGGAAACTTAATGGAGCCATCATTGATATAGTGATTACATCACAAATAAGCCATCTCAAAAATGTATTAAAGCTTATAGGCTGTTGCCTGGAATTCAAATACCCGGCTATGGTATATGAAGATGCTGGAATTGAACTTCTTACTGATCTACTTTACAACCCGAACAACGATAAATTTTTCCACTGGAAAAGCAGACTCAAAGTCGCAGCTGATATTGCATACGTAATTGCCTATCTTCATGCTGCGTTTCCCAGGCCTGTGATCTATAATAGAGAGCTAAGGGCAGATAAAGTAATCATCAATCGATTTGGTGTTACTAAATTGTTTGACTTCTCAAACTCCGTAATGCTTCCTCCTGGAGAATTCCAGGTGAAAGATTTTTTTTGGATAGGGGATTTTAGAAATATAGACCCTGAGTATGCAAAATCAAAAGCTATAAACCAGAAAACCGATGTCTATAGTATTGGCTTGCTTTTACTCAATCTCCTGGCTGGACAACATTCTTTATGGCCACATCCGGTAGATGAAATAGTCAGAATCAATAAGTCCACAGGCTTTTTCCATAAGGATCAATTAAAACATTATGTGGATCAGAAAATTACAGAAGAAGGGGGAAATGAAGCAGAGATGCAATTGCAAAATTTCCTAGATATTGCTCACAGATGCATCCAATATACTGGAGAAGACAGGCCAGATATGATGACTGTTGCAAAAAGAGCTTAGGAAAATTGAGAAGTCCTGTCATCGTTCCTAGCTTGTTTAGTTCCATTAGAATTCAATATCTATGTCAGGTGAAATTTGTAAATTTCTTTTATCATGTGCAACGACTGTCATTGCGTCATCCACAATAAATTCAGGCTTGACTTGTAACCACTTTGCCAACCTCTCCTTTACTGGTGACTTAAATTGGTATGGACCGCTCCAGAGTTGTGGATGGGTGATCACCGTCAATAATATTGGTGTTATTTATTGTTTTTCATATTAAAAACTGCAGCAATTCAGTATAGGATAATTGGTCTATCTAATCAACCATCTGAAAACTAACGAGATATATATTTTTTTTCGATTTATGTGCTACTTTTGAGGCGTACACCCCAAGTCAACCTCATGCGAGGTGTTCATCAAAAGCTTGGGGTACCCGAGGTGGAGGTCGTCAAGGTGTCGGAGGAGGAGGTCTTGAGGATGCATAGTAATTTATGTAAATTGACTCGTAAAATTGAAAATGAAAATTTTTGGAATTGCATAAAAATTGATAATTTCATTACAAATTTGTGTATTTTATACATTTATGTAGACCTAAAAATATAGACATTTAATAGTTCTTTAAAGTAATTATAGCATAATTTGTTGTATATTTCATTTATTAGGTAAAACTCGATGGTTCGAAGTTAAACTGATAGAAAGAAGCGAAAAACAACAAAAAATGGCGAAATACAATTCTCAGGACCAAATTGTAAATATTCAATGGTTGAATTGGACCATAAGAGATATTTTAAATATTAATGGGAGTCAATTGGATGCAATTAGAAGTTAAAAAGGAATGAAATATCATCAGAATATTACTATAAATCGACTTCCAATCATATGATATATTTTTTAGATTTTTAATCAAGGATGACGACAAATTTTTTGCATAGTAAATGTCCGAATTGGAAAAAATCTATCTCTAAGAAAAATTGTAGCCATTTTAGTTAGCTTTCCAACACATTTTAAATCAACTCAATCGGATATCGAAAGAAAAAGTTATGATCAAAATACTAACTGCTGTGCAAGGATAAAAAATTCGCGCGCGAGTGTAACTTTCCTCATTCAATTGGAACTCTTTTGGAAACCAATTTGGGCGTGATTTTTCACCAATTTTCGATCATTACAGATAGAGAATAGGAGAATACACAAAGGGGGCTCTCATACACATCTCTTATACATAATATACTCTAATATTCATCAATTATCATCATCAAATGAGGAAAATTCATGTTTTTGTAAGAGAATTGAAGGGGACTTGCAAGAATTCAACCAAACGAAAATTCAAACTTGGTATTGCACAAAGAAAAGAGAGCGCAAGTGGAAATTCATTAAAAAACCATTAAAGAGATTCAATATTTCAAGATTTATCTTCATCTTCTCAATTTATCCAAAATCCAAGTTATGTCTTTCCACTTATATATGATTTCTTGTAATTTCAATATGTTAGACTAATTTTTCATATTTGCTAGGATGTGATGAATCCTTGTTATGAATTTTTAATTTGAATAATTTAATTGAATTTAATTTGTTTAATTGTTTGGATGTTTATTATCGTTTTCATGCTTTTCAATTAATTGGCCACTGGTTGAATTGTTTGTGAATTTTGTTGTTATCGAGAGAGGCAATAGGGTCATTAGCACAAAATAATATATATTGTGAGTTTCGATAGAGGATAGAGATATACCTATATGCTTCACATGGTTTTTATGGATGTTTTAACTCGTTTAATGCATTTATCATGTTCGTATCTTTCATCGAGAGATAGGAAGGTCGCATGAGGGGAATAGATTTAAAGGCTATCGAGAAAAGCTTTTAGATAAAATAGGAACATTAACCAACAAACATAATTTCAAATTGTCAATTTGAATTGTTTAATCACAACTCGACATTGCTATTCGATTAAGGGAATTATTAGCTTTAACTCGATCAAACAAATAGTCCTCGTGGGTTCGACACTCTACACACTATTATATTACTTGTTCATGATCCCGTCCACTTGCGGGAAATCAATCGACCAATGGGCAACTCGGGGAAGGCTATTCTATGAAGTCACCCAACTAGAAATACGAATTGTCGTGGGTGTCTATTAATCTTTGATAGTTTCATTCACTAACAAGCATTCTAATATATTCTAGCGTTTAGACCAGTTACCAGTTTTAAACCTCACTACTATATTTTGATCATTTCAATCTAGCTTTGAGAAGCCCCACTAATGGCAACAATGGTGATGAAATCTTTCTTCAGTCTTAAACGTAACAAAATCCCAGAATAACATGTTGGATCTCTTATCTATACAATCAGCTCAACTCACCAAAGAATATAGGTGTATTAAGATTCATCTCATGAATTTTGACAAGTTTTAAGCTAATGGTCGACCAACCTTAACCTTCTTACGTTTACCAGGGCCTAAGACCAACTACGAAAAACATAGGTGGATACACAGAGGGGGTTATAAAAATGAGCTTACTCCTGAATAATATTTACTACTAGTACACTTTTGATAACCAGAAGAGAGGAAAGCCTTAACCAGAATGCAACAACCACAATAACAGAAGTATACTGGCTAAAAGCTCAGTCTTGACTATTTTCAACTTTGACTAATGAAAAGTATTATTTATTGTAAAACTCACTTATTTAATTATAAAGTGAAAAATTTGAGCTTGCCCAAAGTACAGATGTTAAGTGTTTGTCAGAGAGAGATTACTTGAAGTGAAAAAAAAAAAAAATTTATTTTTATTTTTTTGAAGAATGTATAGTTAAATAGTAAGAAAAAATAATGAATTCACATACAAAATTATTTTATTATATCAACTTTGACTAATGAAAAGTATTATTTATTGTAAAACTCACTTATTTAATTATAAAGTGAAAAATTTGAGCTTGCCCAAAGTACAGATGTTAAGTGTTTGTCAGAGAGAGATTACTTGAAGTGAAAAAAAAAATAAATTTATTTTTATTTTTTTGAAGAATGTATAGTTAAATAGTAAGAAAAAATAATGAATTCACATACAAAATTATTTTATTATAAGAATGTGTCATTAAAAATGAATTTGAGAAAAATTGATTTTAAATAAGTTGTTCAAATGAACGCTAAATATCCAAGTCTCCTCTTGGATCATTTGTTCAAAATCAACTCTCTACGGGAGACAAGTATACCCTACAATGGGAGAATCTTCAAGTCTTCAACTACATTAGTGTTCACATTCAAAAGTCTTCAGTGATCTTAGGTCGATGCTCAAGTTTGGGGGCAAAACTAGAACCAACATCCATCAATGCCCCCACCATGATGTCGATAGCAATGAAGCCAATTGATGTCTTCACTCAAAAAAGTCCTCCTCCTCCTTTGTCTTTAATTTTACATTGGGGACAATATTTAATTTAAGTTTGAAGGGTAAAATATTAATTGTTTGATTTCAGGTGTGGTTGTTTTTTTTTTCCGTGTATATCACTAAAAATAAAAAAAATTCCTTGCTTTATGCTTAATCAAAAATCCTACATGAAAACTTGATGCAAGGTGTCTTGAAATTGACATCTCAAGTACTTGGAGCATTGATTTTGAATCTCCACTCGTAGACTGTAATTACACTTTGGAGGCGCCCCCGGTGGCATCGCCTAGTGGTGCAAAGGACAGGAGTGGGATTATTTCACGCCTTACTGGCAGCCACAGTGTGGGGGTTTGATTTCTGAAACATGGAATTGGACTCTTTGTAGGCGCAGTGTACAGGCAGCTCTTGTTCCCTGACCTGTTGAGGCACATCCCACGATTTACCTCCCTCACAAAATTCTAGGGGCGAGGCGATGAGGGCCTCAAGGTTGGGGTTCAACCTTTTTAATTACACTTTGGAGGCTTCCAAAAGAAAATGTCTAGATAAGAAAATCACACTTCTGGCAGCTAAGACTTTGTAGAAACATGTTATGAAGAAGGAACGGGACAAGGGTTTGTCTCTTGGCGAAGCAACAATTAAATCCAATTTCAGTTTTTAAAAGTGTGGATTCCAATAAAGAATCATCAATTCTCACCACCACTCCAACCATGATATGTTTTCTGCCCTCACTTTCGTATCTTGATTATTAAAAATAAAAAAAGTTGGATTTTCAGGACTTTGTGCAAAGATAAAATTCCCTTGATTTTCTGTAATATGAAATTGCATACAGTCGTCACAAAAGAAGAGCTCAAAATTAAAATCTGTAATATGAAATTACATACATATTTAAAAGCAACTTCTTAGTTTCAAAAACAACTTTTGGCTGTTCAAAAGTCCTAACAAACGGGCCATTAGTTTCTTATTCCAGTCTAAGCATCAAAATTAGGTATTTTTTTCTTGTGTATCCTCGTGATTCCCAGTTGATCATTGTTGCTGATTTCTTTCTCACTTCAATTTCCTGGTAGCCTTGGACAACATCCACTATTTTCTTTCAAGAAGTACGGGGCAGATGCTCGCAAGCCTGACTATAACCTGAGTTCCCCCATATCAGTTAGAAGTACTGATTTATTGAGCATCAGGTTCCATGAACCCCTTCAAAAATTTGATGTCATGCTTTAGACCGCCTGTTTAGGCACCATTTTAATGTGATTTTGGGATAAGGTGTATTTTGGAATAGTGATTTTTTTGGAGAATGCGCTTTTAAAGATAATGAAGAAATTTGAATTTACGTGCAATATTATTTTATGAAAGAATATGTGGTTGAAAATAAATTTTGGAAATAACAGAGCCCAAACATGGCCTAATCAAAAGGAAGAAACATCATACTCCCTCTTGAAGGCGGAGGCGAGGAGCTTATTGCATCTTCTGATGGACACAACGATGGAGATAAAATCTTTCTTCACTATTAACTCCAACACAATTCCAGAATAGATGTGGATCTCTAATCCATAAAACTACATTGTAGTAACATCACAAGATTATACAAACAAAACTAAAACAACAAAAATGACGAGGCGAGGAGCTTATTGCATCTTCTGATGGACACAACGATGGAGATAAAATCTTTCTTCACTATTAACTCCAACACAATTCCAGAATAGATGTGGATCTCTAATCCATAAAACTACATTGTAGTAACATCACAAGATTATACAAACAAAACTAAAACAACAAAAATGATAACTTAGATTAGGAGGTTAAATTTAGACTTTTAATGACTTTTTGGGATTTAAAAAGTTTAGGCTTAAATTGAAACTTTTTTAGACTCTCTAAAAGTCACGGTGTATTCAATTGAAA